ACCATCTTTGAACAGAGGCGGTGGTTTACGACACCAACCGTGGGACCGTCATTCCACTGGAATTCAGCCATAACCCAGCACGGACCATAACAACGCGGAAGGTCACCTTTTGGGGGTGATGTGGGATGTGGCAAAACGTCGGTATACTACGCCCCGGCAGTGAGAACGGACCGATCCGGGCCATATGGAAAAAACAGATCAAAGGTATGGCCTTCAGAGTGTGTTGGTTTATTTAGCCACTGAACTAGGTTAAGTGGGTCAGTTAGAGCAATAAAGTCTTTGGCTAATGGATCATCCTTACAACAGATATGAATATTAAAATCACCCGTGATAAGAACACAGTCATATTTAAAAAGAACAGATCCTAATAGATCAGCAAAGTCATGAATAAAAGCCTTGTTGTATTTCGGTGGTCGGTAGAGTTTTAGAAGAATCGGCCATATCCAATAATTGAACTCCAAAGGTAGGTAGGGGAGGGGAGCTGCCGAATTTTATGTTTATTTTCAAAAACCAAGGCTAAGCTACCACCTCTGCTGTAAGCGTAGGTGAGCTGAAGAAGGCACAGTCTGGAGGGAGAACCTCCGAGAAGGAGAACGACTCACCAGGGCGAACAGAACGTCAGGAACAGAACGTCCAGCCCCGAGGTGAGGAAAAAGTCATTTAAAACAAAAGTCTTATTCACCAGCAACCTTACATTTAGTAGAGCCATCTGTTTCATGGACGCCATACTTGTAGTGCGTCGCAAACGGCTTAGGTTGCTGTGATCCACGCCACCTCTGGAAGACGTTATCCAGGTCCTGGGAGGACTGGGTAGACTTACTGCCCGACGGAGCAGAGCCACCGACAGCTAAGCGATCTGACAAGAACGACGAGCATAATACCAAGAGAATGAGGAAAGAGGGTTCGAACAGAGAGGCAAGGACGACAATAACTTGAAACTGGTATTCAATACCTACTGCACATTCCACTTTGTATTATCTCTGTCCTGCCTTTGTTTATCGTACAGTTAATATTATATAGTTACCATTACAGTATTGTATAGTTAGTAATGAGTACCTCTTTATCCCTTAATTTTACCAAAATTTAGCAAGTTATTTATTTCTAATTCCTAGTTTTATATCTCTTGGAGATATATCCTTTATATATTTATAAATACACCATGGGGGGCTTAGGGTGAAACAGCATTTTGGTACACTGTACACTGTGTATACTACTATGTTGACAATAAAGCTCTTGAATCTTGAATCTTGTGTTCAATTTCCCCATCAGGCCTGGGCTCTCTCTGTGTGGAGTTTGCGTGGAGTTTGCATGTTCTTCCCATGTTTGTGTGGGTTTGCTCCGGGTACTCCGGCTTCAATGTTGAAAATGGACAGGATAGGGACATAAATCAGGACAGGGGGGAGGCATATGACAGTGTCCAGTAAGTTCAGGTTCACGACTCCAGGAGCTTAAATGGTTCGACTAAATCCAGGAGCTGAGTGGCTGTGGAAGATAATGGTAAAGATTCTCTAATAAAACAAGACAAATATTCTGTGATTAAATGATTCAACTTTTGTATTCACACAGTAACACAAACATGAAAAACAGAACAGTGATGTTATAGTTGCTACAGACTGAGGGGCAGGATTTTTCTCAGACCCACAGATGACGGTCTGAACAATCAGCATCCTCAGCGCCGTTGTTTTTTTTGTTTGCACACAAAACAACCAGATGACTGCATCGGTTCATGGTTGCCGTGGTAACACCAGAGAGGAGTCACAGTACAAACAGCGGAAACGTCCAGATCAGCCACTGATGAATTTTTAATGAATTTAGGCTAAAACATGTCTGAAAAATCAATAATCATCAATAACAACAATGATGTTACAGAACAATGGTTACCATGGGGACCCAGGCACAGGAGTTGAGGCGACAGGGCGCTTGTCTTTCCTTCTTCCTTCTCTTACGTCCTCCTCCTCTTCATCATCATCCTCTTCTTTGTGTACAGACACACTGACACACTGCAGCAGACACACACACACAACAATGTTATTGTTCTACAAGCATCAATATGTAGATAAAAAATGGGGCTTTTGTTTGTCGTTTTTGGCTTTACACAGTCATCTAAGGCTATATTTGAATTCTGTTTTAATATTCTTTACTTTCAGACTCCCAAAAGTTTGATTCTGTTCATCTGGACGTTTTCAGTGGGAGAAATGTTTCATCACTCATCCACTCTCGGCTGACTGCAAGTTTCCAACCTTATAAACAGGACATTTGCACAATGACTGAAACTGTCCCACTGGTGAACAATGGGCTGGAAGGTCAGTTCCTTGATACTTAACACGCAAATTGCCATGACCACTGATCATCATCAACAACAACAAAACCAACAAACACTTAAGGTACTGTTTATAAGGTTGGAAGAAGTCACGTGGATGAGTGACGAAACGTTTCTCCCACTGAAAACGCCACGTCCAGATGAACAGAATCAACTCTTACCTGGATGATTGAGCATGCATCAAGACAGTTACTTTCAGACTGTTTCAGACTGCAAAAAAAAAAGAAAAAGAAAAAAGAAAAACATCTATAACCCTCATCAAATGAACATTAGCCATTCATTTGATGTCCCTCCTGTGACCAGTTCCAGAGTGATTGAGTAAAGTTACTGGCAGATGCTAGAATGAAATTGACCTCAAAGAGATATATGGTATAGTTTGTAGGATGCTGTTTTATCTGTGAACACTGAAACTATTCCCTAGGTGGTAATGACACTGCAGAAAGTGTAACACAAACTGAAAATAGAGAAGGTTCTCTCTTTTCCACTTTGCATCGCCCTATCTCATGCTTCATTAGAGCTCCTCCTAAAGTAAATGGTGAATGTTTGCAGACAAGTGCGTCTCTTCTAGACAAGCTATGGGCTAAAGTAAAATCCAGTAATGATCAAAGCGATTTTAAGGAGGTTTTTGGTGGAGCTTTCTTTTTAAGACCCATTTAACCTAACAACTTCCAAAAA